TCTGTAACACTTTGTCTTCAGTGTTGGTAGGCAGAGTCCTCATGTGGTTAGTGCTTTCTGACGACTGATGCTACATGGTTATACCGGTTCTTCAGATCTTCAAATGAGTGTGAATGTTTTACATTGAGCTCTGTTTTATTTTATTTTTTGTACTTTAGATGAAGGTTTACAGAGCAAACTGGTTTCTCATGAAACAGTTAATACACATTGTTTTGTGACATTGGTTGCCAACCCCACAACATGTCAACACTCTCCCCTTGTTGACCTTGGATTCCCCGTTACCAGCTTTCCTGCCTCCTCCTGCCTTCTTGTCCTTGCCCCTGAGCTGGTGTGCCCATTTAGTCTTGTTTTGTGTTATGGGACTGTCTAATCTTTGGCTGAAAGATGAACCTCAGGAGTGACTTTATTGCTAAGCTGTAAGGGTGTCCGGGGGCCATACTCTCGGGGTTTCTCCAGTCTTTGTCAGATCAGTAAGTCTGGTTGGTGTTTTTTTTTTGTGTGTGTGAGTTTGAATTTTGTTCTACATTTTTCTCCAGCTCTGTCTGGGACCCTCTGTTGTGATCCCTGTCAGAGCAGGCCGTGGTGGTAGCTGGGCACCACCTAGTTGTTCTGGACTCAGTCTGGTGGAGGCTGTGGTAGTTGTGGTCCATTAGTCTTTTGGATTAATCTTTCCCTTGTGTCTTTGGTTTTCTTCATTCTCCCTTGCTCCAGACGGGGTGAGACCAGTGGAGTATCTTAGATAGCCGCTCACAGGCTTTGAAGACCCCAGGTGCTACTCACCAAAGTAGAATGTAGAAGGTTTTCCTTATAAACTATGTTATGCCAGTTGAGCTAGATGTTCCCCGAGACCATGGTCCCCACAGCCCTCCGCTGAGCAATTCAGTCCCCCAGGGAGTTTGGATGTGTCTGTGGTGCTTCCATGACCTTTCTTTGTACACATTGTGCTGGCTTCCCCAGTACTGTGTACTGTCTTATTCTTCACCAAAGTTACCACTTAACTATTGTCTGTTTAGTGTTTTTCCCTCCCACCACTCCCCTCCCTCATAACCATCAAAGACTGTTTCTTTTTGTGTGTAAACCTTTTCATGAGTTATTATAGTAGTGGTCTCATACACTATTTGTCCTTTTGTGATTGACTTATTTCACTCAGCATAATGCCCTCCAGATTCATCCATGTTGTAAGATGCTTCGCAGATTCATTGTTGTTGCGTAGTATTCCATTGTGTGTATGTACCATAGTTTGTTCATCCATTCATCTGTTGATGGGCACCTAGGTTGTTTCCATCTTTTTGCTGTTGTGAACAATGCTACAGTGAACATGGGTATGTATATATCTGTGTGACAGCTCTTATTTCTCTGGGGTATATTCTGAGGAGTGGGATTCCTGGATCATTGACATTTCTATTTCTAGCTTTTTAAGAAAGTGCCATACCGCTTTCCAAAATGGTTGTACCATTTTATGTTCCCACCAGTAGTGCAGAAGAGTTCCAGTCTCCCTGCAGCCTCTCCAACATTTGTTATTTTCTGTTTTTTTTTTTTATTTGTGCCAGTAATGTCGGGTTGAGATGGTATCTCATTGTGATTTTGATTTGCATTTCTCTAATGGCTAGTGACTGTGAACATTCCCTCATGTATCTGTTAGCCACCTGAATATCTTCTTTGGTGAAGTGTCTGTTCATATCCTTTGCCCATTTTTTAATTAGATTATTTGTCTTTTTGTCATAGAGGTGTTGGATTTTCCTGTGGATTACAGAGATTAGACCTATGTCGGATTTGTCGTAGCCAAAAATTTTTTCCCAGTCTGTAAGTTCTCTTTTTACCCTTTTGGTGAAGTCTTCTGATGAGCATAAGTGTTTAATTTTCAGAAGATCCTGGTTATCTAGCTTATCTTCTGGAGTTTGTGTGTTTTTAGTTATGATTTGTATCCTGTTAACCCATGTATTAGGGCCTCTAGAGTTGACCCTATTTTTTCTTCTATGATCTTTACAGTTTTTTGTTTTATATTTAGGTCTTTGATCCATTTTGAATTCATTTTTGTGTACGGTGTGAGGTATGGGTCCTGTTTTCACTTTTTCGCAGATGTACATCCAGTTTTGCCAGCACCATTTGTTAAAAAGACTGTCTTTTCCCCATTGGAAGAGATTCTCTTGGAGGTTGGATATGAACATCTTAAGAAATAATGGAAAGAGGGGGAGAACAAATATTTCTTTTTCCATAGCACCCACCCTTCATTGTGTTCAGGAGACCTCAGGATAATTGTATCAATAAACCCTTCTTTGCTTGCCTTTATGTTCTCTTCACTGAAGCAGGCCGTCTTCCATGTCTCAGCAAAGTTCCCAAGATCTGAAGGATTTGCACAGCAGTTTCCTAAAATGTGGTCATTGGAATAACACTTCTCAGATGTGTTACATAGAGAGGGTTTTATAGTTCTGTTATCTTTGGAATCCTTTTAAGTCATCTTCCTCCTCTTGGAGAATTACTGTGTACGTTAGTAAATCAGAAGTCTCTAAGAAGTACTGCATTGAAGAAACTGGTTTTACTTAGTGTGTGTGTACCTGTTTTTAAAATTTATTTGACAGTAAAACCCATGTTTGTTAACATTGGTAGAACAAATTTAAAGCCCTGTGCCAATGCAGAAATCATCTAGGCAGCTTTATTTCTGTATTTTTGGAGGACTAAAATTTTTGTTAACTAATTTTCAATTTGTAATTATTTTGTTCGGAGAGTATTTAAGCATCAACACCTTATTTTCATTGTTAATAGCAATTATAATATTGCAAAATGTGAGGAAAAAAGTTCATTCCTGGCATTTTAAAGGGTCATTTATAATGTCCTCTTTATTACAGTGACTTTCAACAAAGAAGGGAGCAGTTTCCTAATTGGTAGTATATCATGGCTTGAAAAGATCTAGAAACATTGCTATATTGATAGTAATATCTCACTTTCCAGAAAAGCAGAAACCAGTTTGTAAGCAGCTGACTCTTGAATTTTGAGCAGATATCTGTGTTTATCTACTTTAATTCAAGAAAAGACACACATTAAGAATTGTTATAATCTTGCATGCAGTCTAAAAACATCAGCTGTTTGGTTTTCAGGCCCATAAATTAGGGGCTTCTGTGATTTTTTGTTTGTTTCCAGTACCCATATAATTTATTTGTTTTTTTAAATTATGAAATAATATAGATCTATAGTAAAGACTGAGAATAATACAGCAAACAGCCATGCACCATCCACCCAGATCTAACAAATGCAAACATTTTGCTGTATTTAAATCAGACCTTTCTTTTAAAATAATTTATTTTGGTTGTTGTTGAAAATAAATACAGCAGAACATACACCAATTCATCAATTTCTAAATGTACAATTCAGTGACATTGGTTACATTCTTCAAGTTGTGCAACCATTCTCACCATCTTTTTCCAAATTTTCCCTCCTCCATTAACTGAAATCACTGCTCCCTAAGCTTCCTATCTAATCATTCAAGTTGCTGTTGTCACTTTGATCCCATGTAGATAGTTCTTTAAAAGAGCATAATGCTCTAAATAAGACCAGACTTACTGGTCTGATAGAGACTGGTAGAACCTTCGAGACCGTGGTCCTTAGACACCCTTCGAACTATAACTGAAATCACTCCTGGAGATCACATTATAGCCATGCAGTAGACAGGCCTATAAAATGAACAGTAATACCGCTCAGAATAGTCAACTATGGGAGACCTAAAGGGCAGCATTTGTCTAAAAGCAAAGTTCAGAAGGACAGTAAAGCTTGGGGAATGGACACAGGGATCCCAGGGAGAAAGGGAGGAGAGTGCTGACAAATTCAGGGGGTTGCAACCGATGTCATGAAGCAAGCTGGGTATAAAGTGTGAATGGGAAAGTAATTTGCTCTGTAAACTTTCACCTACACAACAATAAAATGTTAAAAAAAAAAAAAAAAAGCTCAAGCAGACATTCATTATTAATTAAGCTAAATTATTGTTTGGTTTAAAGAAGACTTCAGTGATATTTTTGGTTTAAGGTTTAAAGATTATCTCAGGGTAGTAGTTTTGGGGGTTCACCCAGCCTCAGTGGCTCCAGAAAGTCTGGATCTGGGGGCTGCTGTGTTCTGTTTTGCTTTGTTGTACACTGAAAAAAAAATTGTCCACTGATGATAAGGGAAGAGGAGAACAATAAAAGCTGTACAAACAAGAATATAAAATACATAGCCGTTTTGGAGATATCTAGTATAGAAATGACCTTACATATCTCTAGGCCTGATATGTTGTACAATAATAATATTCATAATAATATGACTTTGAAAGGTTAAATTATATGCAGTTGATTGTGTTTAAGAAAACAAAGGTTATAGATTAGAAATTATTTAAGCTTTTCTTCAAAAGGCTTTTTGCGTAAAGGGTTACTTTTTATGGCTTCTCTGGAAAGCTTGTCTGTCTTAAATGATGTAACCTTTAAAGATTATGGAGAATTATGAGTTTTATAATTAGAGAGCAAAAAAAGAAGCACTATTAAAGCTTTTAAGCAGTTAAGACCTAGTCTGCTGTTAGTTGCTGTCGAACCCATTCCAGCTCATGATGCAGAGTAGAATTGCTCCATAGGGTTTTTGAGGTTATGACCTTTTGGAGCAGATTGTCAGGTCTGTCTTCCTATGTGCCTCTGGGTAGGTTTGAACCACCTACCCTTTGGTTAGTAGTCAAGTACTTAACTGTTCACGCCACCCAGGGACTCCAAAGAAGTTGATGTTTTGTTGGTAATTGGCTGTTCTTCATAACTTCTTCATAGCATCAGTGTTTACAAATTATTCAGAAATATTTTGACATTTAATAGATTGTGAATTATAAGGCAATTCAGATTTTGAGAATGACATGTATAAGATATATAGAAGACGTAAAGAGAAAGGTATGAGCATTTGGAGAAAATTTGATTAAGGATTTTAGACTATAACTAGAAGGGTATTACATTGTAAAAAGATAAGTACAAATTGTTATTGATGTTCTTTTCTAGAAACGACTACAGAAAGAACTGTTGGCTTTGCAAAATGACCCACCTCCCGGGATGACTTTAAATGAAAAGAGTGTTCAAAATTCAATTACACAGTAAGTATTTAATTTTTAAAAGCAGTTATTTTTATTTCTTTTATTACCAAAGTGATGTATGAATATATACTCATTTAAAATAGGGAAATGGTTTGTCAGTTCAGTGTAGTCAGAAGGCATCACTTAAGTTATAGTCTGTAGTCAGCAAGTAAGTCATAAATTGTGTATGTCATGATTACCCTTAGGAGGCCATATTGGAATATCGTCTTGCCTTAATAAATCCAACAAGAGCATTTTCCTCCAGAGGCGAGTAGGTGGCCTCTTCTTTGATCAGGAACTGTGATGTGTGAAATACACCTGTGTAAACATTAGAGTCACAGAGCAACTAGATAATCACAGGAATTTAAGAACTGAGACTGACTGAGATAACACATTCACTTCTCCCATCTCATCCTTCCTCTGGGACGTGTGCTCATTATTAGAATCATAAACAGTGATGGTTTGAATTTATGTAATTTAAATGTGCACATAATCAGCTCTGCTGGACTTCCATTCTATGCAGCAGTCAACCATGTTTTCAGAGCATATTTAGTGACCTAGGAAACTGCAAAATAGCTACACTGAGAGGTACCAAAAAACCTTTAACAGTGGTTATGTCTGGAGGTTTTTTATTTTATTTGAACTTTTTAAAATGAACACATTTTTGAATTAGTAAAAGGTTGTTGAGAAGATTAAAAGCTCTGCTTGGATATAGGTCACACATAAATTTATGGTGCATTGTGACAACAACGGGTTTGGTTTGGTGTGCCCTAAATAATACTGCATAAACAGAACTAAAGACCATCAAGAGATCCTAATTTTTTCCTGGAATTTTTCCACTCTACCTAGTGGATGTCAAGAGGAAAAGATAAAAGGGATTCTGGAGGTAAGAAAGGACCTGGTTTTTTAAGGGAATCAGGTGTTTTTTATTTTGTTTCGGTTTTTTTAATGCAGGTTTTGCATTGTGTTTAATTTACTGTATACTGGCTTTGATGTAATGAATGTGCTAGGTGTTTTATATATGTAATGTCATTAATCTTCCAAACAACACTATGAATATCTGTAATTTACAAATGAGGTAAAACAGCTTGCTTGTGGCCACACAGCTAGTTAAGTAGCAAACTTGTCTATTTTCACAAAAAAAAAAATGCTGCCTTTTGGGTTTGTGGTCATATCTCTTTTTACCCTTTATGGTACTGAAATGCATTCTGAAGATAAATAGCCATACTCAAGGGTCTGTATACTTTAGCTGATAGCTTTCAAAGAATAGGTACATTTATTATTTTACATACATAGTATATGGATGGGGTGATAAATAGAACCCTGACAGTGTATTCTCTTTCTTTTGTTTCTCATTTAAAATCATAAGATTAAGTCTTATTTAAAATCGTAAGATTTCATACATGAAAAGGATAAGGTTAAAGGAATAATAATTATAACTGACAGAGCTATAATTAGAAACTCATTCTTAAGACTTTAGTTCATTTTTGTTTCTAGATGCTGCCTGCCCCTGCCATCTCTGTCATCATGATCCCTTAGCCCCTCCACTCCCCCCGACACTTTAAAGAAAAGAATAAGAGGTAGTGTACAGAATATAAATGTAAACATCTATATTCATGATTGTTATCTATGAAAATAAAGCAGATAAGTGTGTATATATGTCGTATATGTATTCTGGGCTTTATTAAGCAATTTAAACATAACAAGACAAAAGAAAGGGGATATAGAGCCTTGACTAGCCATACCAGTAAGTGGACTGACCACAGTTTAACTTCCTTTTTCCTGTTTAATTTTTTCTAGAATACTGATAAGAAAATAGATCTGCCAGCTTACAGTTCTCTGTAGTCATTGCTGAAACCTACTTCCCCCATTTCTTCTAAAATAATTAACGTCTGAAAGACACTTGATTAGTTTGGTGTTATCTATAATTTTTTTTCCCCATCACTGTATAAATAGTCTTGAAAAAATAAAGTAACATTGCAATTCTACTGCTTGATGTATACCCCGAAGAATTGAAAGCAGTGACACAAACAGAAACTTGTACACCAGAGTTCATTGCAGCACTATTCACAATAGCTAAAAGGTGGATACCACCGAAATGTCCATCAAGAGGTGAATGAATACATAAATGAGGTGTATATATATATATGTATACACACAGTGGAGTAATAGGTAGCCACAGAGAGAAATGAAGTCCTGATATCTTTTACAACATGGATGAACCTTGAAAACAATGCTGAGTGAAATAAATCAGTGACAGAGGGACAGATAGTGTATGAACACACTTACATGAAAGATCTAGAATAGGCAGATGTATAGAGACCAGAGTTATTAGTGGTTACTAGGGGTTGCAAAGGAGCCCTGATGGTGGTTACGCACTTGGCTGATAACCGAGAGGTCGGCGGTTGGAACCCAACCAGTGGCTCCATGGGAGAAAAGGCCTGGCAATCTGCTCCTGTCAAGATTTCGGCCTAGGAAACACTATGGGGCAGTTCATGTAGGGTCAGTCGCTATGAGTTGAAATGGACTCGACCGCACACAACAATAGTAATAACAACGAGTGGGGAGGAGGGAGAAAGTGGGAGCACGGAGTTTCTGTTAACGGTGGTGGAATAATTTGGAAATGGATAGTAGTGATGGCTGTACAACCTGTTGAATGTAATCAGCATCACTAAATTTTATATGTAAAAATGTTGAATTGGCAAATGTTTTGTTAATATGTATTTTTGCCATAATAATAAAAAAATAAGGTAGCATGATTGAGTAGTGCACAGGCTTTGGTGTCAACGCACTTAAGTTTGGGTTTTTATTTTGTTTGTTTTCAGACCTGGATTAAAATTTGGTTTTGCCCTTTGCTAGCTCTCTGTCTTTGGTATGGTTATTGAATACTGGAGTGTTAGAGAAGGAGAGAGGGCAGGAGATGTTAATACCCACTGCTGAGAGTTGTTGGGAGGGTCAAATGTGCTGTTAAATATAAATGACTGCTATCCCAGTACGTGGCAGAGAGGAAGAAGTACTCATTGTTCCCTTTTCTCCTTCTCACCCCAGCCACCTTTAATGTTAAGTTTTTGATTGTTTTTATATTCTAGGTGGATTGTAGACATGGAAGGTGCACCAGGTACCTTATATGAAGGGGAAAAATTTCAACTCCTATTTAAGTTTAGTAGTCGATATCCTTTTGACTCTCCTCAGGTAATTATCTCTTGCTCTTTTATTTTATTATATTCTTAGATTATAGGAAAATGCTAAATTACTGATGTTGACTAAGTAAAAACTTACAAAAGATATTTATTAGACACGTGGGTGGATTTGTTCCTTCATTATCTTATTTGTAAGATAATCAAGATCTTAGAAACATTTTACTTTTTGGGATTAGGGCTTCGCTACTTTTGTGCTTCCAAGAATTTAAAACTGTTTCTTATCCGTAGATGTTAGCAGAAAGAGGAATAGAAGTCTCTAACCCAGGCCTACAGGTTGTGGGAGAAGTTTGCATTTTGAAATAACTGGAGACACTTCTTCCTAGATAAGGTGGTATAATGACACAATGACACGGTGAAGAGGCGTATGTTCTGCTGAAAGGCACATTTCTTCTTTGATTTTGCGTTGATGTGTGTCATTGCAGCCCTTTAGTATTGCAGGGGCAGACTACATTATAAGATGTCAACCAAAAATCTGATAATTATAATTTGAGGCTCAGTCACCTTAGTTAATGACTTAATACTGGGACAAGGGATAATGGTAGAGGAACATTTCTGAGAACTACTTCACTATGGTAAATGATTAAACTTTTTAGGATGACTTCCGGATTTCTGGCTTGGTGAGATGAGTAGATGAATTACTAGAATTACTTATTTGTCAGAATATTATGACAAAGTACTTAGATTTTAAAATTTGAGGTTTATGAGTTCTGTTGGCTAAAATGATTAGGCTTTTAAGGCTCATCTGTTAGTATTGCTAGGTAATGAGGTGTTCTGGATAATGAAATTTCCCAAATACCTGAAATTCATCTTGTTAGGTGCTAAAGTATGCTATTTTGAGGAAAACTGTATTTCATTTCCACTTTAAACAGATAATACCAAACATAGTTTAATCTTTTCCTGACCACGTAGGAGGATAAATGAAAGTCAGTATTGCACTGTGCTGTAGATAAAGAAAATTGTTTTAAGGCATAGGATTAAATGGATACTGACTATCAGTCAGGGTTGTCCAGAGAAACAACCAATAGGAAATAAGTATAAATACATATGTGTATACATGTTATACAATAAATAAATCATACACATACTATAATAAAGAGATTTATTTGAAAGAATTAGCTCATGTGATTGTAGGGGCTGGTGAGTCTGATATCTGTAGGACAGGCCAGCAGGATTTTTATGTTATAACCTTCTTCTCTGGCAAACCCCAGTGTCTGCTCTTAAGACCCTCAGCTGATTGGATGAGGCCTACCCACATTATCAAGGGAAACCTCCTTTACGTAAAGTGTGCTGACTGTAAATGTTAATCACATCTATAAAATACCTTCACAGCAACATCTAGACTCGTGTCTGACCAAACAAATGGGCAGCATGTCTTAGCCAAGATGACACATAAAGTTCACCATCACACTGACTCCTTGCATTCTAAACCTTTCCTGTGAGCAGAAAACTGTTAAAACTTTTGGGGCTCAGTTTTTTATTTTCATATAAATAAAGTGAAAGGATAGGTGTTTTCATGAACTCTAGGTCTCTATAATAATCATCTGTAGCCTGTAATCAAAAGCTAAAACAACCATTTTCCTTCTGTCCAGAAAATGATCTTCAGTTTTTGTAGTTACTTTCTTACTGCTCAGTGTCCTTTCTATTAATGCATGAAGGCAGTGGGGGCTCAGGCCTTGTTATCTTCAGGGTTTTCTCTAGACTTTTCTTTAGGGTTTAACTCTAAGTCTAGTATCAAACTTAAGCATCATTTTGAATTTTATTTCTAATATATCTATAAGTTAGAACATTCATCAAATTCCTTCTGCTTTGCTGATTTTTCTTCCCTCTTCTGATTTTGGTGTTCGCCAGGTTCTTTATTTAACACTCTGTTCTTTCCAAAGTCTTCAACCATTTTAAGCTGCTAACTCCCAGATCTGCAACTAGGTACAACCTTTTCTTTCTAAGGTTTAATTTGACACCACTATTGGAAGCACATGGAACCCTGGTGACACAGTGGTTAAACACTCAGCTATTAACTGAAACATCGACGGTTCAAACCCACCAGCCGCTTTGTGGAAGAAAGATGTGGCAGTCTGCTTCCATAAAGATTACAGCCTTGGAAACCCCATAGGACAGTTCTGTTCTGTCCTGTAGGGTTGCTATGAGTCAGAATCAACTTGACGACTGCCGTTTTGTTTTATTTGAAGCTCTACTTGGGTACTTAAAGGCATCTCAAATTTAGCACATCTAAACTCAACTCTTCCCCATAACAAAATGAAATAAGCAAAAATAAATTTGTTTTCCTTTCTCTTGAGTTACTATCTATTGCTTGTCTTAAATTCTTCCCTTTCCCTCATTTTTATATTGCATTTTTTAAATCTTTTTGCAACGCTTCCTTAGTCTGTCTACTCCTTTTTTATCTCACTGTCAGTGCTAGAGTTCAGGTTTTTGTCTTTCAGTTGAACTGTTACAATAGCCTCTAGTTCTTTGCACTTACAGCCATCCTTTCTTAGTGCCATTAGCTTTCTTTGAAGGCATAATTATCTTGTTGACTTTCACTCTTCCCCCACCCTAAGCAATAAAATCTCTTAAGTGTTCTCTATTTCCTGTGGAGTTAAGTTTAAAAAATCTTTAGCTTGGTGTTGAAGGCCCTTTATGGTTAAATCTGAACTTAACCATTTCAGCCATCTATTACCTCCATGCATTCTAATGTATAGGAATATTTGTATCATACTTTCATCAGTTAACTTCCATTCTGATTTAATCTTGTAACAGTTCTTATAATGAAGTGGTTAAAAAAAAAATCAAACCCGTTGACATGAAGTCAATTCCAAGTCATAGTGACCTTATAGGACAGAATAGAAGTGGCTCATAGGGTTTCCAAGGAGCGGCTGGTGGATTTGAACTGCTTATCTTTTGGTTAGCAGCCAACCTCTTAACCACTGCGCCACCAGGGCTCCATGGAGTGGTTAAAACAGGTAAATTCAACCTTGTTTTATTAATGAAGAAATTGAAGCTTGGAGAAATGAGTGTCTTATTCATGGTTTAATTGTTAGCAGAATAGTCAAGGTTCAAACCCAACTTATTTCTCTCTCTTATGCCATACTGTCAGTTAGGTGTGAGTATCAGCATGAGAAAAATAGCTGTTTATCCATGCAATCATTTTCTTTCTGAAAATGAAAGATTATATGTTAAATGATGCCTTTGAAAGCTCTAGAGAAGTAGTTCCCAATCTTTTGAAATGTGAGGATTCCTTATTAACATTAAATAATTTTGTAATTTCCCCCATCTCATAGAACTTGTATTTTCTAATACCTGTTGATGGAGAAAATGACAGCTACTTTGAGTCCAGTTATACTTTTAATTTCTTTTATTAATCACAGAATTTGTATGATTATAAAATAATTATAATGGGTTCAACAATCAATGCTTGATGTGTATATAAATTTTATTTAGTATTTTTCTAGTAACTGAAGCTTTCCAGAGGTCCATTGCTCTGGAGAAGTGGTTGGAACCACTCCAGCTCCCCATTGACCAAATAAATGATGATACCCTGCAGCACTGGCACTTGGTAGATGAATTAGTCTTTCGTCTTCTTATGTAATAAGCAGTACTGAATTTACCACTACTTATAAGAGGAGAATTTGGGAAATATCCCTAGAATATTCTAGACCATTCTCACTGGAAAATTATTTCTCCTGTCCCTGTAAATGAGATCTGTAAGACCATACATACCTTTATAGTTGGACGTGTTTTGTTCCCTGCCAGTTATGATGAGTTTCTCACCTTTTATCTCACTTTAGAGTGAAAAATCCTACCCCAAAAGTGATGTTTGGCTCAGTCATTTGTTTTAAAAGGAAAAACAACAACAAAATAGAAACTTTCTCTGTTAACATTGGGGCAGAGATGAGGCACGTTTTCATCAGTGGTTTCCACTAATGTGCACTTACTGCTAGCTCTGCAGAACATAAAGTGTTTTTCTCTCTATATTCTATTTTTTGTGGCCTGGATGCAGGTAAATGGTTGGTTACTTTAACATGTATTGAGCATGCACTGTGTGCCAGATACTGTTCCATGTGCTAGAGAGATGGGAGAGAGTACGGGGATTTGAAAAGCATTAAGCTTACCATTAAAGAGTTTATCATCTGTTTAATGCTTGGACAGGTAGACACATTATTCTGTCTTTATTGAGTTCATAACAGAACAGACACTGTTACAGGTGCTAGCGATTCAGTGGTGCACAAAATGGCAAAACAAATTTTGTATTTATGTGGAGTTTGCATTCTTGCAGTGGGAGACAAGCAAGTAAAATATATATAGTATGGAAGATGGTGAAAAAAAGTAGAGTGGGGATGGGGGATAGGCTTGTTGCAGTATCGGATTGAATGGTCAGTGAAGGGTTCATTGAAAAGGTGACATTTGAGCAGAGATCTGAAAGAGGTGAGGGAGTGTGCCGTGCATCTGTCTGGGAGAAGAGCAGGTAAAAACAATGCAGAGGCCCTGAATCTGGAGCATGCAGTGTGGTCCCTGGAGGGGTGTATAAGCAAGAGGGAGTGTAGGGTGTAGGTCAGTGAGATACTTGGGACCGGATAGTACATCACAGATTGTATAGAGCATTTATAGCCCATTGTAGAAACTTGGATTTGTATTCTGAGTGAGATGGGAAGCCTTTGTGGGAGGTTTTAAGCAGAGGAATAACGTGATCCTACTTAAAAGTAACGGTTTGACTGCTATGTGGCAAATAGCCCACTGGGGCAACAAGGGTCCAGGAAGACCAGATAGGCTATTGGAGTAATCCAAGTGAGAGATGATGGTGGCGGCTTGCATCAGAAGGGTAGGAGTGGAGGTTATGGAAGGTGGCCATGTTCTGGACCTAATTTTTGGGTCCAGTCAGCAGGATTTGCTGACTGGTCGAATGTGGAATTTGAATGAAGGAGAGGATGTCAAAGAAGAGTTCACGATTCTTGGCCTGAGCATCTGGAAGGACAGTACGGATTATATGCTTTAGGAGCA